GCTGCAGAAATGAGTTAGGCCTCTGAGCGTCGCTGTTGACCATCTATCTAAGGAGTAATAGGCAGCGAAAAGGTCCCACATTTCGGCTCTCACAACGCAAAGGGCTGCTAATTTGGTCACACAGTCCTCCGGAACGCCTGAACACTCGGCCCAGCGGCCTCACTGGGAGTCTCCACAGGGTGCTGATCGGCCACTGCTGCCACTTCGGACTCTGGGGGGTGAACGTGGGAATCCTGGCTCTTGACCCCGAGAAGAGACTGCGGCACAGGGAAATGGCGGCTCGGCCAAAGTCCCCCCACTGCAGAAGGCTGGTCCTGCTGTGCGTCCTTTGGGCGGCCCGGTGGGGGGCCGCGGCTGGACAGATGCGCTATTCTGTGCCAGAGGAGAGCGACCAAGGTGCTTTCGTGGGCAACATCGCCAAAGACTTGGGGTTGGAGCCCGTGGCCCTGGCGGAGCGCGGCGTCCGCATCGTCTCCAGAGGTAGGGCGCAGCTTTTCGCTCTGAGCCCGCGGAGCGGCAGCCTCGTCACTGCGGGCAGGATCGACCGCGAGGAGCTCTGCGCCCAGAGCGCGCCCTGTCTCCTGAACTTTAACATCCTTCTAGAGGATACACTAAATATTTATTCGGTGGAGGTCGAAATAACAGACATCAATGACAACACTCCTCACTTTGGAGTAGAAGAATTGGAAATAAAAATCAGTGAAACCACCACACCAGGATTCCGAATTCCTCTTAAGAGCGCTCATGATGAAGACATTGGCGGGAACAGCCTGCAAAAATACGAGCTCAGCCCAAATGACCACTTCTCCCTGGAAATGCGAAGCGCAGCAGACGCGAACAAGCACCCGGAGCTGGTGCTGCAGCGTGCCCTGGACCGCGAACAAGAGGCAGTCCACCATCTCCTCCTCGTCGCTTCCGACGGGGGTGACCCCATCCGATCGGGCACCTTACGGATCCGAGTGACAGTCCTGGATGCGAACGACAACGCGCCGGTGTTTACTCAGCCTGAGTACCATGTCAGTGTCCCAGAGAACGTGCCTGTTGGCACCCGAATACTCACGGTCACTGCCACCGACGCAGATGAGGGGCACAACGCTGAAGTGGCATACTTTCGAGAAAAAAAGCCTAAAGAAACATCAGAGGTATTTGAGCTTAAGTCGACATCCGGAGATATTGTGATCACCAAAAATCTAGATTATGAAGATGTCAAATACCATGAAATAGATATAGAAGCTCAAGATGGTCCAGGCCTTCTGACCAGAACCAAGGTCATGGTCACTGTTCTGGACGTGAATGACAATGCCCCAGAATTTTACATGACTTCTGTTACCAGCTCAGTTCCTGAAGATGCTCCCCCAGGAACCATGATTGCCCTTTTCAACGTGCACGACAAGGACTCTGGGCAGAACGCATTTCTCCAATGTTCACTCCCACAGGACCTTCCTTTCAAATTAGAGAGGTCGGTGGACAACTACTATCGACTAGTTACAACCAAGCCCCTGGACAGGGAACAGATTTCCCTCTACAACATCAGTGTGACCGCTAACGATGAAGGGAACCCGCCTCTGTCCTCCAATGCTCAAGTTTTACTGCAGGTGACAGACATCAATGACAACCCGCCTGCCTTCCTACAGACTTCCTATTCTGCCTACATTCCCGAAAACAATCTTAGAGGCGCCTCCATCTTTTCTGTGATGGCCCATGACCCTGACAGCGGTGACAACGCACATGTAACCTACTCTTTGGTGGAGCAAACCATCCAGGAGGCGCCCCTGTCCTCCTATGTCTCCATCAATGCAGACACAGGAGTCTTATATGCCTTGAGCTCCTTTGACTATGAGCAGTTTCGAGCCCTGCACCTGTGGGTGGCTGCCAGTGACAGCGGGGACCCATCCCTCAGCAGCAACGTGTCGCTAAGCCTGTTAGTGCTGGACCAGAATGACAATGCTCCTGAGATCCTGTACCCCACGCTCCCCACCGATGGCTCTACTGGTGTGGAACTAGCGCCTCGCTCTGCAGAGCCGGGCTACCTGGTCACCAAGGTGGTGGCGGTGGACAGAGACTCTGGACAGAACGCCTGGCTGTCCTACCGCCTGCTCAAGGCCAGCGAGCCAGGGCTCTTCGCGGTGGGCGTGCACACGGGCGAGGTGCGCACAGCGCGGGCCCTGCAGGACAGGGATGCGCTCAAGCAGAGCCTGGTGGTGGCTGTCCAAGACCACGGTCAGCCTCCTCTCTCTACCACCGTCACACTCACCGTGGCCGTGGCTGACAGCATCCCCGAAGTCCTAGCCGACCTGGACAGCATCAAGGCCCCTGCAGACCCTGATGACTCAGGCCTCACGCTGTACCTGGTGGTGGCTGTAGCGGTGGTCTCCTGCGTCTTCCTGGCCTTTGTCATTGTGCTGATGGCACTCCGCGTGTGTCACTGGCACAAGTCTCATTTGATGCCGGCAGCCATTGGTGGTATGGGGGCAATGCCTGCTGCACCTTTTGAGGCTGTGGATGGGGTGCGGGCTTTTCTACAGATGTATTCCCATGAGGTCTCCCTCACCACGGACTCTCGGAATAGTCACCTGATCTTCCCTCAGCCCAACTATGCGGACACGCTGGTCAGCCAGCAGACCTGTGAGAAAAGCGATTTTCTCTCCGCATCTCAATCTCTACTTGAAGGTAACGGAGAAGAAACACTTCCACAGGTAAACTAGCTCTTCATGATATACTTAGATGCTATTTTGTTTAATCAAATAAATCACCCCATTTATGGTACTTAACTACTGCCATTATATACATTATTCTCTTTTTCTTTCTTATGGTTCTTTGATAATCTATTTAATTTTTTGGAAATAGCCCTGGTTGAATTATTTCTGAATAATTTGACTCTGAAGGAGAAGGGATGATATATAGTTCATTGTAGAATAAAAATAACTACAAAGAAGTGAAAGTAATAGTTAGCTTATCAGAAGAACACTTGCAGTACCTCAGTGGGTGTTTGGTTTCTACCCCTGGTTTCAACAACTTTTTTTCCTTGAAAGCATAAAAGTTGGGTTTTAAGATTTCTTGCACCTCTTTGTCCTTAAAATTTTAAAACTTTATGTTTCATATTGCAATCTGTTTTATAAAACATCAAATACCTTAGATTGTTAGTATCTTCTTGCTTTAGGGTAATGTTTCCCTTCCATTTATAAGTGATGTGTTTTCCTTTCATTTAATTTGCAACCCTTCCTTGTTTTGAAAATGATGGCAGTTTAGAAGTATAGATTCTTCGCAGGAAATTTTATTTCAGGAAGGTTTGCAATGGTTGCTCTTCTTAGTTACAAATCGTATCATCTCTAAATAGGTATGCCTTCCTTGAAAAGGTGGCTGAATTATAATTCTTCTATAATATAGCTCATTGGCTACTCTTTGTTACTTTTGAATTGTCTCATATCTGGAAGTCATATTGCCTTTTCCCTTTAATATAACATATCTTTAATAAAACTATACCTAAAGTAGCACGATGGAAGGAACTTGGAGGTCATATCAGAAAAGTGCTCATCAAAATCCCCTTTAATCCTCTTCTCAAAGCTTTTCACTCACAAGTGCTGCTAAAAATATTCCTGAACCCTCAGCCAGCTCCTCCACAAAAATACAAACTTATTGTCATCAAGTCGATTCCAACTTGTAGCAACCACATAGGACCGAGTAGAACTGTTTCTCTGTTTCTAAGATCTCAGCTCTTTACCAGAGTAGAAAACCTCACATGCTCTTAAAACCACATTGTTTTTATTGCTTTATTCATCTTCCTATGTTATCTTTTAATATGTTGTTTGGTTCTACATTTAAGAACAGAGAACACACTAATGGACTATGCAATGAGACCTATCTCATTTAGATTTGATATTAATGATGTACTTACGTGATCTATCCTAATGTACTATGTGGTGTCATTATCGGTAGGTGCTATAATTCTACATTATAGTTAGGAGCATTTGGTAAGATAACATTTTGAAAGTACTGTATTCCACTGCATGTAACCCAACCAGAAACCCACTGCCCTTGAGCTGATTCATACTCATAAAAAAGCATATGCCTTCTAGTAGATTCCAAATCATAGTGACTCCATAGGACAGCATAGAACCACTCCTTGGCTTTCCAAAGATGTAACTCTTGACAGGATCAGACAGTTCCATCTTTCTTTCTCTTTTGCTGGTGGGTTTGAACCAATGACCTGGAGGTTAGCAGTCCATTGCTTACCGATATCGCCTATTATTAGTATTATCATAATTTCTATGAAGTAATATTTGAACTTATTGTGGAACAGCATGTCCTAGGATCTTTGTTTACTAGTAAGATAAATAAAGAAGCTTACAGTAGGGAACATTGAAGACAGTGTCCCTTTCATTGTGTCGTAACTCTTTGTCACAAAACAATCAAAACCAAAAATCCCTTATGCACAGGTATGTAATGCACTGTGGTGAAAATGACAAATACAGTTTACATCAAGTTCTGTGCTTGCAGAGCAAAATAGCTACAGAGAAAGGAACTCTCGGATGTAAAATGAAAAATTGTCTACACTTGTTTTAAAAAAACATTAAAAACTTCTTCACACTATAGATTTAGTCAATATAAAGCTCTTTCAGTATGTGGAAGATCCATGACTACTTTTCTCGCACATCTAGGGATGATCATCGCTGTATTGCCATTCTTGCTCATCTCCTAGCCTTTTGCTCTTCGAACATGCCCTGGGAAAGCCTTTTTAACCTCCAAGGCAGCTTCCCTAGAGCAGTTATTTCACTGCACTGTAATTCCTTTCTTACTTTTATACCCTCATAAACTCTGAAGGAAATGTTTGTGGCCATCATAAACCTTAAATCCCCACTAACTGATTTGACCTAGTTGGCACTTAATTGTGTGTTTATTTAGTGACTATGTTAAATAACCAATATAGAAGCTCACCTGTCACTCTCAAGGACAACTTCAAAAGGATAACCTGTAAATAAGGTTAATTGTGCGTGGTTCTTACACATGGAACAGTTCAAAAGAGTAACTCCGGTGCATGATTGCTAATTTGAAGTCACACCCTTTAACATATTAGCTCCTTTATGTGAAATAAACATCAATCCATTATCTCTGACAAAAGGATTTTGGGTAAAAATAAACCATTAAAAATAACAAGAAAAAAAGTAAATGGGTTTCTCTGAGAGGATGTAGTAAACGGTTGGACCTCTTGGCGTCGCTGTTGACCACACAAGGAAGAAAACGCAGCTAGAGAGCTGGTCGACCATTTTCTGGCTCCTAAGCGCAAAGAAGTAGCAAGTCAGACTCCGCAGATTTGAGGCTGCTACTAAAGTCACTCCATCCGACAACCAGCTCTATGACCTCTTAACTGGACCTATAACGCATTTGGTTCCCCAAGGAAATAATATTGGAACCCGCTGTGGGAAACGGGAACTGAATTCAGAAGAAAAAAAACCTAGTCACCAGAAATGAATCGCCTGCGATGCCGCCAGGGGAGAGGACTGGCCCTGCTGTGCGTGCTGCTGGGGACGCTGTGTGAAACCGGCGCCGGGCAGATCCGCTACTCCATTCCGGAGGAGCTGGACAAAGGCTCCTTCGTGGGAAACATCGCCAAGGACCTGGGGCTGGAGCCCGAAGAGCTGGCGGAGCGCGGCGGCCGCATCGTCTCCAGAGGTAAGACGCCGCCGCTTTTCGCTCTCAGTCCGCGGAGCGGCGGCCTGGTCACGGCGGGGAGGGTAGACCGCGAGGAGCTCTGCGCTCACAGCCCGCGGTGTCTGGTGAAATTTAACGTCCTGATTGAAGACAAGCTGAACATTTTTGAAGTGGAAATAGAAATTAAAGACGTTAATGATAACGCTCCCGATTTCCTAACAGAGGAATTGGAAATAAAAATTAGTGAACTCACAAGTCCTGGAACCCGGTTTCCACTGAAGACTGCCTTTGACCCAGATGTGGGCCTGAACGCCCTGCAGAAGTACCAGCTCAGCCCCAATGACTATTTCTCCCTGGCTGTGAAGAGCGTCTCTGGTGGGGCCAAGTACCCGGAGCTGATCCTGGAGCGGGCCCTGGACAGAGAGGAAGAGAACGTTCACCAGCTGGTTCTCTCTGCCTCTGATGGTGGCGACCCTGTGCGCTCTGGTGACATGCGCATTCAAGTGGTTGTTCTGGATGCAAATGACAACCCACCGGAGTTTCCTCAGCCTGAGTACCACGTAAGTGTTCTAGAGAACGTGCCAGTGGGCACAAGGCTGCTCAGGGTGAATGCCACCGACCCTGATGAGGGATTCAATGCTCAAGTGTCCTATACCCTAGATAAAATGCCAGGAAACGCCGCTCAGATTTTCCATCTCGACTCAGTCACTGGGGACCTATCAATATTAAGAAGTCTAGATTATGAAGATGCAATGTTCTATGAAATTAAAATTGAAGCTAAAGATGGACCAGGACTCCTTTCAAGAGCCAAGGTTCTGGTTACAGTTCTAGATGTGAATGACAATGCCCCAGAAGTCACAGTCACCTCTCTGACAGGCTCAGTCCCAGAAGACGCTACCCCTGGGAGGGAAGTCGCCCTTATCAACGTGCATGACCGAGATTCTGGGCAGAATGGGCAGGTGACGGTTTTTGCCCTTGGAAACCTGCCGTTTGATTTAGAAAAATCCATAGATTACTACTACCGCTTAGTGACAGCCAGATCCCTGGACCGTGAACAGGTGTCCGAATATAACCTCACTCTGAGAGCCACTGATGGAGGAACGCCCTCACTGTCCACGGAAGCCCACATTCACCTGCGCGTGACAGATGTCAACGACAACCCGCCCACCTTTGCTCACACTTCCTACGCTGCCTATATTCCTGAAAATAACCCCAGAGGTACCTCCATCTTTGCCTTGACCGCCCACGACCCTGACAGCGACAGCAATGGCCTCATCACTTATACACTGACCGAAGGCACCCTACAAGGGGCGCCTCTGTCATCCTACATCTCTATCAACTCGGACTCGGGCATCCTATATGCGCTGCGCTCCTTTGACTATGAGCAGTTCCGAGAGCTGCAGTTGTGGGTGACAGCCAGCGACAGTGGAGATCCATCCCTCAGCAGCAACGTGTCCCTGAGCCTGTTCATACTGGATCAGAACGACAATGTACCTGAGATCCTGTACCCCGCTCTTCCAACAGATGGCTCCACTGGAGTAGAACTAGCTCCACGCTCTGCTGAGCCCGGCTACCTGGTGACCAAGGTGGTGGCGGTGGACAGAGACTCTGGGCAGAACGCCTGGCTGTCCTACCGCTTGCTCAAGGCCAGCGAGCCAGGGCTCTTCGCGGTGGGCGTGCACACGGGCGAAGTGCGCACCGCGCGGGCCCTGCAGGACAGGGATGCGCTCAAGCAGAGCCTGGTGGTGGCTGTCCAGGACCATGGCCAACCTCCTCTTTCGGCCACCGTCACGCTCACGGTGGCCGTGGCCGACAGCATCCCTGATGTTCTGGCCGACCTAGGCAGTCTGGAGCCCTCCCCCAACTCAGATGCCTCCGATCTCACACTGTACCTAGTAGTGGCTGTGGCCGTGGTCTCCTGTGTCTTCCTGGCCTTTGTCATTGTGCTCCTGGCGCTCCGGGTGCGCCGCTGGTACCAGTCTCGCCTGCTGCAAGCCTCTTGTGGTGGGACGGCCAGAGGGCCTGCCACGCACTTTGTGGGTGTGGACGGAGTGCAGGCTTTTCTGCAGACGTATTCCCATGAGGTCTCCCTCACCGCGGACTCTCGGAAGAGTCACTTGATCTTCCCTCAGCCCAACTACGCAGACACGCTCATTAGTCACGAGAGCTGTGAGAAAAGCGAACCCCTCCTGATATCTCAAGAGTTACTTGAAGCAAAAGGAGATTCCAGGCTACTTCAGGTGAGTTTATGTCTTCCTTGGGATTACATAAATTATGCATATTTATTTGAGAAATAAAGTACCGCTAAAGCCATGGTGGTGTAGTGGTTACAAATTGAGCTGCTAACCACAAGGTCAGTGGTTCGAAATCACTAGCCACTCAGTAAGAGAAAGAAGGGGCTCCCTGCTCCTGTAGAGTTACTGTCTCCCCACAGGGGCGGTTCTGACCTGTCCTATGGGGTCACTACGAGTTTTCTTTATAGGCAATAGTCCTGTGACCTAAATAGATTTTTATTCCTCTTTATGGGTTTATAGTAGGACTGCACTTCCTCTTCTATCTGAGACTGGTGGGCCTATGTAACAAATTCTGGCCAATACATTGTGAATGGAAGTCAATGTCACTTCTTGGGGGGTGGGGTTCTAATTGTCATTGTGAGAATTTTCAGATCTCTAAGTTACTCTTTGAAAGTATGACTGCTGCTTCCATGTGGGCTCTTGAGTAACTCTGATGAGAGAAAGCTCTCATAGTGACCCAACATTGATCTGCAAAATTGTGACAACCAGACCCTTTGCATTTTAAATTGTTGTGAAGTGAGCTTTGTTACCTCGGTCTAAGCCACCTATTCTGACACCAGCTAGTAAAACGTCAAGAGGTTTTAGTCTTCCACAAAATTATGCTTGACTCTTTCCAAGTTAAACCACTTTGTCATCTCAGTGACACAGAGTGTTAGATAAAGAATGGAGGTTTGTTCAAATGGATTTACTTGACCTTTATTCTCTATTATATGGAGCTAAACATATGTATGTATTGGTTTCAGACTTTTGCCTGAAAGTGGAAACTTTATTTGCTCAAACTGCCATGAACATTAGGCTGATATTCCTTCTAATTTGAGAAGGATTAAACAATTTTAGGAAGACGTGTCTCTTGGCCTCTGTAGGAGAGTCCCAAGCCATCCACATCAATAGTGGAATCAAAGTCTTGACTGTGTTCTACAACTTGTTAAAGCCAGACGTTGCTAGCCTATGAATTTATTTTCACACATGCAGTTACATCATCCAAAATCTGACAAGAATAAATTCCACTAGTTATCAATGAAACAAATTTATCCCTCAGTATTAGAAAGTGGTCATTCAAGAATGTGAGACAATGGGGCCTAAGCAAAAACAGAGGTAGGTGTATTCTCCCTCAAATCTGCCAATATGCCACGGGGGAGGGGGATACACATGTTTTTTGGCATGTATTTTTAGGAAAAGTATTTATTGTATCAGTTTCCGTACCAGGAGATATTAAATGATTAGTGCAAAAAGAACTTTGATGCACAAAGACTATAAGAAGCCCATAAAACATAGCCTGCAAATGTATCATGAAAATGTACTAATAATACAAAGCCAGTACAATATCCATATGCTTATATAGAAAATGGAAGGTCTCAGATATACATTTTAATTTTTAAGTGGTCCTTTTTCCTGAAGAACGGACCAGATGTATTTCTGTAGAAAGGGGATAAACATTCGAAATAAAAAGGAGTAGAAAGCAAATATAAAGGCACACAATAGAGAAAATATGGTGTGGAATGTCTTGGAAAATAAATGTGGTTTGAGTGGAATATAAGAACACGTATACATGAAATTATAAAATAGTAAGATAAATTGAGAAAATTTTGGATTGCATTTGAAGTAAAAGCATCGACTGTTTGGATTACTACAGACCAGTCAAGAATTACAGGTAAGTTCCAAAATGAAGCATTCCAACATTCAATCAAGTCAAACTTATTTTACTCACTAATGGCATAACTTGACTGGAACTGAGAATTGGTATTATAGAGATTATATACGCATCCACATACCACAAAATCATTGATTTAATAAAAATAAATATGGCATGCACAAGATTTCACTTTATAAAAGCATGTGCTGAAATACTAAATTAGTCTCTTTAACAAAATGTCAGGGTCTTCTTTACTTAGCTGGGAAGATGGTTTGTTTTTGTAGAGAAGATCAATACATTAAGTCTAGGGCTTTCACTTATTCTTTTTGTATATGTTATATGTGTTCTTTTAAAGTATTGCTAAATTAATAAGATATTGGTGGAGAGGTTCAAAACACTAAATAAATGAGGTTACCGCAACGAATTAACATAAATGTAAAGATTAGAGCCCACTTAAAAATGTGAACGAAAAGCCACTAACTTATTTGAATACAACCATACTTCTCATGCCAGTGTTTATAAATGCTGCGAAATCACTGAAAACATTTTTGCCCACAAACTTGGGGAAGAAAGAGAGGGATGGCTGTGCGTCTTTTGAATTTTTTATGAACTAAAAAAGAATATAAGATGACGGGAATGTGTATGATATGGTGACAAGCAAGAAACTATCCAAGTTCATGTGAAAATGGGAATATGTGGCTCATTGTGACAAATAGCTTTTGCGTTAAGGATAAATACTGGGCAAAAATGAAGTTCTCCAATACCACCTCTGGGCGCCGCTGTTGACCAAAGGAAAGAGAAGAGTTCTCATTCCCGCTGGAATTTCTGAAGGAGTGCTTTTTCCGGTGCTCCGCAGAAAGCAGGCCGGTCTTCTAAGCGTCCTCACGCACCCAAAAGCTATACCCTTAAATCACACACGTCCAAGGTGCCGTGATTCTTTTTTTGTTTGTTTTAATATCCCCGAGAAACCTTGCAAAGAAGCTTCCTGGAGCGTTCCGGCCATGCAGAGGAACTGCAGAGCAGCTGAACGGAGGAAAAGGCAGGTACTGCTTCCCTTCCTGCTGTCTTTGTTCTGCGGGGCCCTCTCCCAGCAGATCCGCTACACGATTCCGGAGGAGCTGGCGACCGGCTCGCTGGTGGGGCCTCTCGCCACCGATCTGGGGCTCAGCGCCCAGGAGTTGCCGGCCCGAAAACTCCGGGTTAGTGCAGAGGAGGAGTATTTCAGCATCAGCGCGGAGAGCGGGGATTTGGTAATGAGCGGTCGGATAGATCGAGAGAAGATATGCGGGAAGAAATCAGAATGTGCTCTAGAATTTGAAGCGGTCGCTGACAACCCAATGAACATTTTCCACATAGTTGTGGCCATCCAGGATATTAACGACAATGCACCACATTTCACTGCAAAATATATTGATCTGGAGATTTGTGAATCAGCCTCACCTGGGGTAAAATTCTCTCTGGACTCTGCGCAAGATGCGGATGTAGAAAGTAATTCGCTGAAGATATATACCATCAACTCCAATCAGTATTTCTCAGTATCCACAAAAGAGAGTCCCGATGGAAGTAAATACCCAGAACTACTGCTGGAAAAACCTCTGGACAGGGAACAACAGAGCTCCCATCAATTGATCTTGACTGCCAAGGACGGCGGGACCCCTTCTCTCACGGGTACCACCCAGGTCAGAATCCAGGTCACTGACGCCAATGATCATGCTCCTGTATTTAGTCAGGAGGTATACCGAGTCAGCCTCCAAGAAAACGTGTCCCCGGGCCACCCTGTGCTGCGTGTGACAGCCACCGACCAGGACGAGGGCATTAACGCTGAGATCACATATGCCTTCCACAATGTGCCCACAAGTACCAGCCTTCTCTTCAGACTCAATCCACATACTGGTGACATCACAACCAACGGCACTTTGGACTTTGAAAAAACAAGGAGCTACGTATTGGGTGTAGAAGCCAAGGACGGAGGGGTGCATACAGCTCGCTGTAATGTTCAGATTGAAATTATTGATGAGAATGACAATGCCCCGGAAGTGACATTCATCTCCTTCTCTAACCAGATTCCAGAGGAAGCAAACCTTGGAACAGTAATAGCCCTCATTAAAGTGCGGGACCAGGATTCTGGACACAATGGCTTAGTGACATGCTATATTCAGAAAGAAGTTCCCTTTAAATTAGAGCCCACCTCCAAGAATTATTATAAGCTGGTGATTGATAGGGCACTGGACCGGGAGCAGACAGCAGAGTATAATATCACCATCATAGCCACTGACAAAGGACAGCCGCCCCTCTCCTCCAGCACAAGTGTCACCCTGCACATCGCTGATGTCAACGACAACGCTCCAGTTTTCCATGAAGCCTCCTACGTGGTCCACGTGGCTGAGAATAACCCTCCCGGCGCCTCCATTGCACAGGTCAGCGCCACCGATCCAGATCTGGGACCCAACGGCCAAGTCTCCTACTCCATTGTGGCCAGCGACCTGGACCCGCGGGCGCTGTCGTCCTACGTGTCCGTGAGCGCGCACAGCGGGGTCGTGTTCGCGCAGCGCGCCTTCGACCACGAGCAGCTGCGCGCCTTCCAGCTGACGCTGCAGGCGCGTGACCAGGGCTCGCCCGCGCTCAGCGCCAACGTCAGCCTGCGCGTGCTGGTGGGCGACCGCAACGACAACGCGCCCAGAGTGCTGTACCCCGCGCTGGAACCTGATGGCTCCGCTCTCTTCGACACCGTCCCGCGCGCCGCGCAGCCTGGCTACCTGGTCACCAAGGTGGTGGCGGTGGACGCAGACTCAGGACACAATGCCTGGCTGTCCTACCACGTGCTGCAGACCAGCGAGCCCGGGCTCTTCAGCGTGGGGCTGCGCACGGGCGAGGTGCGCACAACGCGAGCATTAGGCGACAGGGATGTGACCCGCCAGCGGCTGCTGGTCGCTGTGCGAGATGGAGGACAGCCACCTCTGTCGGCCACAGCCACACTACTCCTGGTCTTCGCAGACAGCCTGCAGGAGGCGCTGCCGGACCTCGGCGATCGCCCTGAACCCTCTGACCCCCAGTCTGAGCTGCAGTTCTATCTGGTCTTGGCTTTGACCTTGGTCTCCGTGCTCTTCCTCCTCGCTGTGACTCTGGCAGTCGCTCTGCGCCTGAGAAGCTCTTCCAGTTCCTCCACAGGGGGTTGCTTTCCATCCGGTCTCTGCTCCAAATCTGAACCTGGGGTTCTCCCAAACTACAGCGAAGGAACGCTGCCCTATTCCTACAATCTATATGTTGCCACCCAATCAGCAAAAGCAGAATTTAATTTTCTCAACGTGACCCCGGAAATGGCTCCCCCGCAGGATCTCTTAAGTGATGATCCTTCTGCGATTGTGTGTGCCAGTAATGAAGATGCCAAAACCACTTATGATCCTTCTTTTTCCTCTCACGTGAGTTTCTGCAAGCCTACTTAAATTATCTGTGCTGTATTTCCTTCTCACTGGTGGGTAACAGCTACCGAAGGGTAGTTGTTCCTTGTTCTGTGACGGCAGCTAGTAAAGAGTGTGCGTTCGACTGGTTCCTTGATTGCTCGGTAGTCTTAGTAGTTCCCTAGCTACCGCTGCTTCTTTTTATCTGTCAGCATTTCTGTATATGCGTGGTAAATCTTGGTAGAGAGAGCTTGCTCCTGATGACACCACTTTTAATAATAACAGTGCCCTTTCTTAAATAAATAATTAAAAAGCCTGGTGATGCAGTGCTTAAATGCCTGGGTGGTAATCAAAAGCTGCTTCTATAAAGATGTATAACTTTGGAGACCCTGAGGGACAGTTCTACTCTGCTCTAGATAGTTACTATGAGTCAGAATCAACTCAATGGTAAAGGGTTTATGTGTGTGTGTGTGTGTGTGTGTGTTTTCTTAACTGATGTCTTATACTAGTTTTTACAACTAATGCTATGCTTTACTCTTCATAAACACATTGAGTTTGGGGTGTGTGTGTGTGTGTGTGTGTGTGTGTTTTGTTTTGCTCCAACTTTGGTTGCAAAAGTATTTATTGTTTAACTGTAACTCATATATGTAACATGACAATTAAGTCTCTCAGTACCTCTTTGCCTTAAGATGCATACCATAGACAACCAAATTGTAGATTAGAATGACTAATTTTGGGCCAATTTTATCTCCACTTCATAATCTCACTCAGAGATGTTCCATCATTTCTCCATTCTCTAATCACTGATTTTTATATTCTTTCTATTTTTTACTATTACAATGGGTGTGATGAGCATTTTATATGGTCCTTTCCATATTATTGTTTCTTTATTAAAATTTCTGCAAAATGAGTCAAACCTACAAACATTTTGAGATTTTAAAAATATGTAGGAGCAAATGTATTTGGAAACATCTAATTTTACCTCCCAATCTACAGGAAAGTGTGGGTCCTTGAGGATTGTGTAAGGCGTATTTGCACTTTCAAAGTCTGGAGATTTTTTTTTAATGTACATAGATTTTTTGTGTGTGTTTGGTTGGAATTTGTGGGCTATTTCTTGATGCTAATAATGATGAATAATCTAAGGACCAGAGAGCCCTGGCAGTATAACAGTTACGCATTGGGCCACTAACCTCAAGATCAGCAGTTGAAAACCACCAGCCACCCCTCAGGAGAAAGATGAGGCTCTTTACTCCTGTTAAGATTCACAATCTTGGAAACCCACTGGGGCAATTCTACTCTGTTCAATTGGGTTGCTACGAATTGGAATCGTCTCAGTGACAGTGGGGATCTAAAGACCTGGCTAGTGTTCTATCTCAAGAGTTCTCAGATGAATAACTTACTCTTGGTATGCATATGCTGCAATAAGAAAGCTATGAAACCTGCAATGGGAGTTTATGGAGGTTGTTGTTCATGGCCATCTACTGTGACTCATGCCGACCTCATTTAAAACAGAATGAAACATTGCCAGGTCCTGTGTCATTTCTGTCATCTCTATGGTCACTCTTTATAATTAAATCCATTGTAGTGATCACTGTGTATTCTGAGTTCCTTCCAACATGGGAAGCTCATCTTCCAGCACTGTACCAAGTAATATTGTTATGATCCATAGGCTAATTTTTAAAGTAGATTGTCAGATATTTCTAGTCCATCTTAGTCAGGAGGCTCCACTTGTTTTAGGAACCTGTCCATAGTGGGTGACCTGACTGGCATTTGAAGTACTAATGGCATAGGTCCACTGTTGTGCAACTCCTCATAGCCTGACAAACTAACAGATGGGTGGTGGGAGGATTCATAAGCAGTTACCAAATTATTTCCTTCTAATGCTATTTCTAAAATAAAATTCAAATAAACTTAGAAATTGTGGTCAAATGATATCTATTAGATGAAATGAACCACTGAAATCACTGCTTTTTACTATACTTCAATCTTTTTGTCTTCTCGTCTTTAGTGTGCATACTTATGATCAGTTGCATTTACCATTTTAGGTATTGTAACTGCATTTGTACTCATGCAATAAACATCAAAATGCTTGAATGCCTAGTCTATGAAGGGTACTGTTCTAGTAACTAAGCACACAGCTGTGAACTTCTGGGCAGATATAGTTTATGGACAATTGTGCTGTATACAAAATAAATGATCAAAAGTCTCTCCCCAGACATATTATCATACTTGTGGAGCCCATTTGTACAGGGGTAAGACTAGCTCTTGATCAATAGATTTTTTTTGCAAGGGAATTGAAATGTTTCCCTAAGGTACAAAGAGTCAATGTATGTGAGGAAACTTGTTTCGGCCCAGTTTAAGACTAGAGCCCAAAGTTCGAAGCTCTCTGGCCGGTATTGTCTGTTCACGTAACACTTTTCTCCGCTCTCCAAGTCCGTCCTTGTTCCTAGGAAGAATTAAAACTCATCCCTCTGTACACCACCCAGAGTACACAGTACCCAGGTGCTGAAAATGGAATACAGGCAGAAATAATGCAAAAACTGGTAAGAAAAGGAGGCTTAGCTTTAAAAATCATCGTACTAGTCGCTTCAAGAGAATAAATAACTTGACAGTGAAGAGTTCATAGTACAGAAAGCCTTGATTCATTCTGAGATTGTCCTTGCAAATCAAGCAACAGGAGCTTGACTGGTATTCTTTCAGGAGAAATTGGTTTAGGTATAGAAATGGCTGTGAAACTAATACTTTAATTTACCAAGAACGGGTTGCAGTAACAGGTTAGGACTCTGAGTGTCGCTGTTCACCAATCAGGAGGACATAAGACCATCAGAAATTTATTTCAAAGCACAAGATTTCGCCACATAAAGCACTGGTTCTGGGGCTTTACGGAAGCTTCCACCTGGACTCTTGCAAGTTCCAACACCCAAAGGCTAAAGCGCATTATCTTGGATCCCGAAGCTCCCGCAGCCCTTCCAGATTCCACAGAGGAGGGGAAGCCCAAGCGCTGCCTGTTCCGCGGCGGGGCGGCAATGGCGGCTCCACATCGGCGGGGCTGCAGCGGGCTGGCCTGGGTCTGCTTTCTCGTGGGGGCCCTGTGGGAGACCCGGGCAGAGCCGATCCGCTACTCTGTGCCTGAGGAGCTGGACAAAGGCTCTTTCGTGGGCAACATCGCCAAGGACCTGGAGCTGGAGCCCCGGGAGCTGGCGGAGCGCGGGGTCCGCATCGTCTCCAGAGGTAGGACCCAGCTCTTTGCTCTGAACCCGCAAAGCGGCAGCTTGATCACCGCGGGCAGGATCGACCGCGAGGAGCTCTGTGACAGAGCTGCCAAATGCGTAGCAAACCTGGAGATCCTCCTGGAGGAGAAAGTGAAGATTTGGGGAGTAGAAGTGGAAATCATCGATGTTAATGATAACACGCCCAGCTTTGAGGCAGAGGAGAGGGAAATAAAAGTTGTTGAAAATGAAAGTCCTGGGACAAGATTCCCTCTTCCTGAAGCTTTTGATCTGGATGTCGGGGTAAATTCTCTGCTAAGCTACCAGCTAAGCCCGAATGGTCCCTTCTCCCTGGATGTGCAAAGCGGGCCCGATGGGATTAAGTACCCGGAGCTGGTGCTGGAGCGCCCTCTGGACCGCGAGGAAGAGCCCATGCACCACCTGGTGCTCACCGCTTCCGACGGGGGCAACCCGGTTCGCTCTGGCACTGCCAGGATTCGCGTGAAAGTCATGGATACCAACGACAATGCCCCTGTATTCACCCAACCAGAGTACCACGTGAGTGTCCGCGAGAACATACCAGTGGGCACCCGGCTGCTCACTGTAAAAGCCACTGATCCAGATGAAGGAGCCAATGGGGAAGTGACATATTCTTTCCGCAAAATGAGAGGCAAAATATCCCAGCTCTTCCAGTTGAATTCTCTGACTGGGGACATAGCAATCGCGGGGGATTTGGATTACGAAGACTCCGGATTCTATGACATAGATATAGAAGCCCATGATGGGCCTGGTCTCCGAGCCAGAAGTAAGGTACTGGTGACAGTGCTGGACATCAATGACAACGCTCCTGAAGTCACCGTGACATCACTCACCAGCTCAATCCAAGAAGTGTCTCCCCCGGGCACAGTGATTGCACTTTTCAATGTGCATGACGGCGACTCGGGAGAGAATGGCCTGGTAACATGTTCAATCCCAGATCACCTGCCGTTCACACTTGAAAAGACCTACGGAAATTATTATCGGCTGTTGACACACAGAACTCTGGACAGGGAAGATGTCTCAGAATATAACATCACAGTAATTGCCACTGACCAGGGAACCCCGCCACTGTCCTCGGAAACTCACATCGCGCTGCACGTGGCAGATATTAATGACAATCCACCCACCTTCGACCAGGCCTCCTACACAGCCTACATTCCCGAAAACAACCCTCGAGGTGCTTCCTTCTTCTCCGTGACTGCCCAGGACCCTGACAGTGGTGAGAATGCTCAAGTCACATATTCTTTGGCCGAGGGCACCCTCCAGGGGGCGCCTCTGTCTTCCTACATCTCCATCAACTCTGAGACTGGGGTCCTCTATGCCCTGCGTTCCTTCGACTATGAACAGTTTCGGGATTTACAGCTACAGGTGACTGCCAGCGACAATGGGGACCCGCCACTCAGCAACAATGTGTCATTGGGCCTATTTGTGCTGGACCAGAATGACAATGCACCTGAGATACTGTACCCGGCTCTTCCCACCGATGGATCCACAGGAGTGGAGCTGGCTCCCCGCTCTGCAGAGCCTGGCTACTTGGTGACCAAGGTGGTGGCAGTTGACCGAGACTCTGGGCAGAACGCCTGGCTGTCCTATCGCCTGCTCAAGGCCAGCGAGCCAGGGCTCTTCGTGGTGGGCGTGCACACGGGCGAGGTGCGCACAGCGCGGGCCCTGCAGGACAGAGACGCGCTCAAGCAGAGCCTGGTGGTTGCGGTCCAGGACCACGGTCAGCCCCCTCTCTCGGCCACCGTCACGCTCACAGTTGCTGTGGCTGACAACATCCCCGAGGTCCTAGCTGACCTGGTCAGCATCAAGACACCTGTGAACCCAGACGACTCTGGCCTAACTCTGTACCTAGTAATAGCCGTGGCCACAGTCTCTTGCGTCTTCCTCGCCTTCGTCATCATGCTGCTGGCTCTCAGGCTGCGGCGCTGGCACACCTCGCGTCTGCTTCAGACCTCAAGAGAGCTGGCAGGTGTGTCTGCCTCGCACTTTGTGGGCGTAGACGGGGTGCGGGCTTTCCTACAGACCTACTCCCATGAGGTCTCCCTCACCGCGGACTCTCGGAAGAGTCACCTGATCTTTCCTCAGCCCAACTACGCGGACACGCTATTAAGTGCAGAGAGCTGTGAGAAAAGCGAGCCTCTTGTGATGCCTCAGGACCTCCTTGAAACAAAAGGAGACTGCAGTCAGGTGAGTTGATCTTATTATCCATCTTACTGACACTCAAACATAGTCACAGAGCTGTGATAGACATGCCTTCTGTGGATAAGATACTCATCAAATGAAGTCACCTGTGTTTTAAAAATATTAGGATGCCTCACAGGGAAGGGAAGGAAACCCTTTAATAATAAATAACAACTGCTATGACACAAAGAAGTTATTTGCTTAGTACTTGTTCTTTATCATCATTATTCCTTGTTAATGTCCACAGCAGTGTCATAATTGTATTCCTCTAAAACATCTCACTCGTTAAAAACTATTTTCCTTTAGTCATACACACTGTTAAATTAGAACTGTTGGAAGGCAGTTCCGTAAATATATATATTTACAGCATCTTTTCTTATGAAGTTATTCTTGAATTGGACTGAGTATTTTAACACTCAAGTAATCCATTGTAGTTGAAACTCAAATTTTTTCCTTTAAAGTGCGTTTTCTATTATGATCACAAAGTGCTAATTTAGGAGTGGTGCAGAAATGTTCAATGTTTAGGTACAACTGTAGCAAGTGTGGTTTCCCCATTAAACTAGGATGTTTAAAATACTTTGTTTGTGCTATTTGTAAAATGAAGCATCAATGTGTGATTCCTTCGGTGCACTTCTGTGATTGCCAAAACATATTGCTTTATTTCACTCATATTTATGCAGGTTACAGGAGTGGTTTTAATATATTAACTACATATTAGAGAGACACACTTGAGACTCTTCTTGATGTATAAGGAAAATAGAACTTTTAAAAAATCTTTCATTTCCTCTTCCCCCTCATGATAACCTCTTTGAAATCCTGGAAACTTGGATTCCTAAGTGACTTATGCCTGTCACTGAAAATTACTCTTTCAGATAGCTGTCATTGTGTTGTGGAAGACCATCTTTTAAGTGCAAGGAATATGCAGTGTTTTGATTCCTTGTGCCTCCATTCTGTCCTGTGAATTGCTACAGGATCTATCAATGTCTAGGGACATGCAAGTTAATGACTTTTGAATACCTGGAAGTTACAGCTATAGATTGTGAAAGAGGCCTCAATTTAATTTAGCAAGGGAAGTTTTCCTTTCTACATTTGTTTTCTTCCTGGGGTGGTGTGATAAAATAGCCATTGCTATCCATTCCGTACCAGCTCTTAGAACCCTTATAGAACAGAGAACGGCCCCAGAGGAACGCCAAGGCTGCACATTATCAGGTTTTCTCTCTCAGACAGCAGGGTGAGCTCCAACTGCCAACTTTTTGGTGAGCAGCCAAGCGCTGCTTCACCGCCACACCATCACCACAGCTTCAAGGTTCACTATGTGGATTAAGTAAGAATGTGACAAGATATAAAACTGCCTGGCATAGAGAGAGGAACATAGAGGGAAAAGAACACAAATGAATACCGGCACATTCTACCTGGGGAGAGATTGTTGAAAACAAAAAAGGCTCTAAAAATATATTTGAGAAATGGTTCAATTTCCTGAAATATTATCAGACATGCACTAATACTGATATTAGGAATAGTATTCCAGAATCGGAGAGGGGTGTGTTTTTAATGCCTAGAAGAACAATAAATGATTCATGATCTAATACAACATGAAAATATATTTGTTTGCATGAGAAATGGGTTTTCTTTAGGAAATAATGTTCCTGGTTAAACAAGTTACTGTATATTATATAATGGACCTTGCTAATGTCAGACAGATCTTGGAGAAAAGCAGAAAATAATAGAAAAATATTCACCCATATTTTATTGGCCAAATAAAGGCATCTCTACTGTGTAAATAATCACAAACTGTGGATAACATTGGGAATTCCAATACAGATAAGTGCACTTATACAGAACTTGTACATAGACCAATAAACAGTTAGTAATTCAAACAGGACAAGGGGATACTACATGGTTAAATCAAGAAAGATATATGTCAAGACTGTATCCTTTCACCATATTTATTCAATCTGTATACCGAACAAATAATCCAAGAAACTGGCATCAGGGTTGGAAGAAGGCTCATTAACAAGCCGCCACATACAGATAACACAGCATTGCTCGTTGTCGTCGAAAATGAACAGGACAGGAAGCACTTACTGAAGACTGAAGACTGAAGCTTTCAGTGTAGATTGCACCTCAACATATAATAAAAATCCTCACAACTGGGCCAAAAGACAGCATGATAAATGGAGAAAAGATTGATGCTGTCAGGGATTTCATCTCTACTTGGATCCACAATGTCCACGGAAACAGCGGTCAAGAAATCTAATATTTGCATTGGGTCAATCTGCTGCAAAAGACTCCTTTAAAGTACTTAAAAAGCAAAACTGTCATTTTGAAGACTACAGTGAACCTGTCCCAAGTCATATGAATTTCAATTGCCTTGTGGAAGCTGGACAATAAGAAAGACCAGAAAAGGATTGGTGCATTTGCTCTACAATGTTGGCAGAATAGGAAAAATACTAGGGACTGTCAGAAGAACAAACAAATCTATCTTGAAAGAAGTACATCCAGAATGCCCCTAACAGTGCCCATGAGACTTTGCCTATACAACGAGCACACAGAAGGAAACAGTACTTGGAGAAGAAAGTCGAGGGTCAGTAAAACAGAGAAAGGTCCTCCACCGGGTATATTGACACAGTGGCCACCATGGCTCAGACATAGGAATGATAGGGAGAATGGCACAGGACCAGGTTGTAGGTGCAGCCACTCTGTGTCAGAACTGCCTCAGGAGCATCTAACAACAGCGTGGCTAGAAAACAGGAGAAACTCCTCTGTACTGATAGGAAGTGGTTTTCAGATATAGTGGGTGTTGTTTCTTTAGAATGATCTAGTTCCACTTGTGCAAAAAAAATTCAGAGGAAGATTCATAACACTTTATTGCACTGTCTTTTTAGAAGGATACCAGAGAAAAGTAACAATGGTTTATCTTGAAAGATGTGTAGTGGAAGAATTAATGAGGAGATCTCATATAATAAACCTTTTGTGCTTTATTGCAATAGGAAAGAAATGAATATGCGGTTGTCTATTTTAACACAAATAAATACTCTTCATAAATCTAGTGAGTAAAAAGAGTAGAGGAAATAGTTCTTTGCAAACCAATGGTGTAGTTTACCGGGGAACCTCTGGGCGTCGCTGTAGGTCAATGGAAGAGAGGAGAAACGGCGACGCATTGAAAACCTCTGCAAGGGTAATTTCCTGTTCAGAGGCACCACACTAAGAAGGCCGGTTCAGATACAGACACAAGAAAACAAAAGCAGGAGAAGTGACCCTACGCTGGATTCGGCCACCCACAGAAGGTTTGTTTATTCCCTCTCCTGGCCGAAGAGCGGCTCCGCGGAGGAGGAGGGAGAGGATGAGAGAGATCTCGCCGGGGAGCTGGCCGGCGGGCCGGCCGCAGGTATTGATACCTTTCCTACTGTCTTTGTTCGGCGGGGCGCTCCCGGACCAGACCCGCTATTCAATTCCCGAGGAGCTAGCCAAGAACTCGGTGGTGGGGAATCTCTCCAAGGATCTGGGGTTCCATGTCCGCGATTTGCCGTCCCGGAAGCTGCGGATTAGCGGGGAGAAGGAGTATTTTACAGTGAACCCAGAGAGCGGGGACTTACTTGTGAGTGACAGAATAGACCGAGAGGAGATTTGTGGGAAGAAGCCTCTGTGTGTTCTGGATTTTGATGCCGTGGCTGAAAACCCACTAAATATTTTTCATATAGCAGTAGTTGTGCAGGATATAAATGATAATACTCCACTATTCAAACAGAGTCATACTGATGTCAAAATTGGAGAATCCACTCAGCGGGGTACAACATTTCCTCTGGATCCCGCTCTGGATTCTGATGCTGGTCCTAATTCACTGCAAAGATACCACCTTAATGATAATGAGTACTTTGATCTCTTACAAAAACAGACTCCAGATGGTCGTAAATACCCTGAATTGGTTCTGAAACGTTCTCTGGACAGAGAAGAACAGAATTTCCATCAGTTGGTCCTCACAGCTGTGGACGGGGGAGATCCACCCCAAAGTGGCACCACCCAGGTACGAATCCAAGTCTTGGACGCCAATGACAACCCCCCAGTGTTCAGCCAGAATGAGTATAGGGTCAGCCTGCGAGAGGACATGCCCCCAGGCACCTCTGTACTGAGAGTGACAGCCACCGACCTGGATGAGGGCATCAATGCGGAAATTACCTACTCCTTTCATAAGGTTGATGAACACGTGATGCACCTTTTCAACCTAAATCAGAGAACAGGAGACATCACGACAAAAGATTATTTGGATTTTGAAGTTGCTAATACCTACACTCTGCGTATAGAAGCGAAAGATTCCGGCAATCTAGCGGCCCACTGCAGTATCCAAGTAGACGTTCTCGATGAGAATGACTGCGCACCTGAAGTGATCGTGACTTCAGTGTTTTCTCCCCTCCCAGAAGACTCGCCTCAAGGAACAGTGGTCGCCTTGATGAAAACGAGAGACAGAGACTCTGGAGACAATGGAGACGTTTTCTGCCGTGTCCTTGGAAATGACGAGTTTATATTGAAATCTTCCTCGAAGAACTATTACAAATTAGTGACGGATGGCGCCCTGGACCGCGAGCAGATTCCAGAGTACAACATCACCATCATAGCTACCGACAGGGGGAAGCCTCCGCTCACCTCCAGTACGTGTATCACCTTGCAGGTCGCTGACGTCAACGACAACGCCCCGCTGTTCCCCCAGACTTCCTACGTGGTCCACGTGGCTGAGAATAACCCACCAGGCGCCTCCATAGCACAAGTCAGCGCCTCCGATCCAGACTTGGGGCCCAACGGCCAAGTCTCCTACTCCATAGTGGCCAGCGACCTGGACCCGCGGGCGCTGTCGTCCTACGTGTCCGTGAGCGCGCACAGCGGGGTCGTGTTCGCGCAGCGCGCCTTCGACCACGAGCAGCTGCGCGCCTTCCAGCTGACG